CTAGGGAGTCCATTTTTTTCTGCCAAGGCGCCTTCTTAATTGTTCGTTGCGTTGATTATGTTGTTGCGCGATTAAAACATGGTTTAACAAAAACAAAAAAAATATATTATAAAATGGTTGTGTATATGACTAATTCTTAATGTTAAAAAATTCTAAATCTATGTAGAAAAATACACCAGAAAGGGAATGGCGATGCAGCCACTTGAAGGCTGATATCTTCCAGATGTCATAAACTGAATTTATTCTCCCTTTTCTTGGTACATTTGCTTTAGCTTGTAAGTATTATGCACTTGTTAAACAGACAATTTATAATATATGAGTCAAGCGTAAACATTAATAATTAAGGTTTTGTAACAACTTGGCTCCGACGGGCTTAAGCACAATTCCGCGAGCTTATAAGCTAGCTTATAAAACCTTAATAATAGGTTTTATTCAATATAAAAATGCTCTGCTGTACGTGGATGTATCATTGGACACGTCAGCATAAAATATTCAATTAAATATAACTTTTTTAAACATTTTTTGATGTGCTAAAAACAGTCCCCAATCCAAAAGTATAATGCTATTCGATGGATTAATTATAATACATGTATTATCTTGAAAAATATTTAATTTATTTCACGATTTCATAAATATTTATTTTGAAAAGTAGCCCCTGGAAATGTTTTTTATAATAATTATAATTATTATAATAATAATAATACTACTTCTACATTTCGGAAGTCTTAGTACCCTGCTGAAAATGACGGATGATTGCGGATGTAAATTCTTCGTCGAAACCGGATGAAAGCAGATGATTGCGGATATAAATTCTTCATCGAATCAGGTTAAAAGCAGATAAAAGCAGGTAAAAATATCTAATACCATCTGCTTTTGTCCGCATCTCTATATCCGCGAACACCTGGTTGGTTTTATGTCCGGTTAGTGCACCCCCATCATCTGTTTTTAACCGCGGTTAAAAACAGATGATGGGGGTGTCTCCACTGCGTTTCGTTTATATCTGCATTTGTCCGGGTTCATCTGCAAACGTCTGCTTACGTCTGGTTTTATCCGCAATCACCTGCTTCTATTTCGTCTATTTTTGTTGGGTTTTATCTGCAAACGTCTGGTTTTATCCGCGAGCATCTGCTTTTACCCGCAAACGTCTGCCTTGTTAATTTCACCCGCAAACATCTACTTTTACCCGCAAATATCTGCTTTTATCCGCGAACATCTACAATCACCCGCGAACATCTGCTTTCATCCGCGGACATCTTCCATCACACGCGTACATCTGCTTTCATCCGCGAATATATGCTTTTACCCGCGAACGTCTGCTTTCATACGGTTTCACGCGCAAATAAAAGCAAAGGTTTGCAGGTGAAATCGGATGAAGCAGACTTTTGCGGATCAAAGTACCTAGATGTTTACGGATGAATGCAGACGTTCGCAGATGAAAGCAGATGTTTGTAGTTGAAACAGGACGAAAGCGGATTCAAGCAGACGTTGGCAGGTGAAATCGGATGAAGCAGACGTTTGCGGATTAAAGTAGATGTTTGCGGATAAAATCAGATGTTTGCGGATTAAAACAGATTTTTGCGGATTAAAACAGACGTTCACAGATAAAAACAGATCTTCGCGGATAAAAGCAGACGTTTGCAGATAAAAACATATGTTTGCGGATTAAAGCAGATGTTTACGGAGTAAAGCAGTCATTCGCGGATAAATGCAGATGTTTGCGGATAAAAGCAGATGTTTGCGGATAAAAGTGATGTTTGCAGATTAAATAAGATTTTTGCGGATTTAAGCAGACGTTCACAGATAAAAGCAGATCTTCGCTGATAAAAGCGGATGTCTGCAGGTGATAACGGATGAAGCAGACGTTCGCTGATGAAAGTATATCTTCGCGTATAAAAGCAGATGTTTCCAGGTAAAATCGGATGAAGCTGATTAAAATAGATGTTTGCGGATGAAATCAGACGTTTACAGATAAAAGCAGATGTTTTCAAGTGAAACCGGGTAAAAACAGATAAAACCGGGTGAATACAGGTTTTTGCGGATGAAACCCGATCGGGTTTTATCTATGCAATTGCAGATGAAAACCGAAATGCCGGGTAAAATCAGATATGCATATCTAGTTTTATGTCCATTTATATTTGTTTTCATTCGACTGAAATTCGAATGAAAACAAATATAAATGGACATAAAACTAGCTTGTTTTTTTTATCCGCAATCATCAAATTACAGGGGGCTGTCATTCTCCAGGAGACTCGATAGCTAGTGGTAAAGTATAATTACGTGAAACCTTTTTTGCTGTAGCACATTTATTGCCAAAAAATATCAAAAATGTATTTGCCTTGGTCATTAGCTCTTTGACATTTAACATTTTTTATAAGTAATCAATATTTTTTATTCTGGCCCAGGGCTTTAACCCAGGACATACAAGACTTGACTGAGCTACCCCAGTGGGATGAAATAAGTTTTATTGCCTTTTTAATTTTAAGATAAATATATCTCCTTCATATTATTTAACTATCGTTTCTTAATGCTCAATATTTGATACAATAATTACTGTTTATTATTTTTCAGATATTTTTTAAATGGAAGTTTACATAGTTGATAAAAGAAACCCCAGTGGTGTACATTTTGCAAAATTGTCTATAATAATTTCCAATGGGGTTAGAACATGCAATTTTTTTATTGCACATTTGGAATCTATAGGTTCCATTGGTATACGCATAAGAGCTAAACACTTTTTTCCTACGTCTCTCAAAATTGTGACGCCACGATACTGTTGGGCCATCGAAAAAAATCGTAACTCTAAAAGTTTTTCACGTATTCAGCCCATTTTCAAAAAGGAACGTATTGCCGTCCCAAATTTTGTGACGTCAAGCTACTGGGATTATCAATTAAAACAAAAAAATCCTTTTATTTTAATTTGATTGTTTTTAGTGATTAGTCTCCATTATAAAAGTGGTCTCACAATGATTTTCGACATCATGTCCCAACACAATTCGTTGGCTGCTACTAAAAGATTTTTTTAAAGCTAAAAATATATTTCGTATATTAATTATGTCTATTTAAAATCTTCAATAGAATAAGTTGTCCATATCTAACCCCACTAGTTCCGGACACAAAGGAGAGTTTAAAGCCAATTTTATTTGCTATACATCGGACAACTGTCAGACGCATTTGTAAAAAAGCTAACTTCAGCCCGTGACTAAAAACCCTGAAAGCCATTGCTGCTAGAGCATGGCGTTTTAGTCACGGGCTTCCTATTGCAAGGGTCAAAATAGTGTAAATATCAAAATAAAAAACATTTGATTTGTATTGAAAAGTTGTTTATTATTATTATAAAGATATCGCATTATAATGTATACTTAGCCCATATTGTATGCAGCCTTACTCTGGCTAATTGTAAATTGTCTTCATCAGTATTAACTTAATAATAGTAAGAAATAAATCTTCTGCAGCTGCTAGCCTATGGACATCAGAAAGTTAATCGATATTTTCGGACTTTTTTAAACAGTAATATGCCGAACTAAAATAAAGTTAATTATTATAGAAGTTATATTAAAAAAACTGATATGATAACTAACACTTACATAAGTAATTAGGAAATAGTTATTTGTTTTACAAGTGTTGAAAAGCGACTTTTTCATGTGAGTTTTTAAGTTGCCCACGAGGCCGTTAGGCCGAGTGTGCATTAACACGAGCTTGAAGAAAGCTTTTCTCACAAGTATAACACAATGTTTTTTCTGCGACCCTTTTATTCTTTTTTATTTTTAAATACGAAACAAAATAACCTAAAAACTTTTTTGACAGCTGAATGTCAAACGAAGCTTTCCGGTTCTTTTCACACAGACCTGTCACTTTTCTCACAGAAATGTCACTTTACATTCGTGTTTTGCCTTGCCAATGAAAAGATTCATTTTCTAAGCAACGATGCCATCATGAAAAGTGACTTTTACATAGTGGTCGTAGAAAAAATATTTATTTAGGTTTTCGTCTTATTTTGACTTGCTCAATCTTTTCCTAAATTTATGCCAATAAGTTTAGGGACACCTTTTATAAGAACTATTAATTAATTAATTATTTCTTTTTAATATCATCCGAGATTGTAAGGTTAAAGTTAAGGATAAGTTTTAAATTTGTCATGACTAAATCTATGGTGTTTGTATTCTTAGAGTCATATTATAATAATAATTATTATTTATATAGGTACTGTTTACAAGCCGATATTTGTTACTTTAATTTTGAAACTAGGTGAGCTAACCTAGCTCCCCCAATTTTGCATATATTTTTTTAACCTTTATTGTTACGCCGCTGAAAAACTCCTTTGTTTCTTGTTGGCAGAAATTTTTATTCTATCTATAAACCAAAAAGCCTTATGTAAGGTTGCAATAAAAAAGTTGGATGGTGCTCCTATAAAAATAGTATTACAGACTTAATTGCAATGTCTCGAATTCTTTGGCATGATCGACAGGCACATTTTTAATTTCAATGTGACTTATCTGTTTACCAATTGCAAAGGAGAAAGAAGTAATTTGAAACACTTCCTTGTGCCAATAATAAAATTAGATAACAATTCGTAACACAATGACATTTACTTGTCTGATATATGGGCGTAAATCAAAAAGCGCCAAAATGTTTAAATTTTTACCATTATCTTGTCATGTCCGATATTCAATTAACCGAATTATATTAATAGATTCATTAATTACACGAAAAGTTCACACTTTAATTATATTTAAAAATGATGCATACTTTTGTTGTTACCTTGCAACTTAACAAACAAATAGTCATGTATAAAAATAATAGACATTCTGTCCCCGAATCGGTCCCCTCCACCTTAAAAAGAAAATTTTAGGTTAGTCGACGTTAGATGCTCCCATTAGAAGTGACCCTTTTTTTATAAAAATACATTGCGACACATATTTCCCGGACTGTGTCCTATTTGTTATTAGTGCCTTAGTTTTTGGATTTTATTTGTATTTCGAAGAAAAACAAACGACTTCAAAATGGGTGGTTTTAATGTTATGATACAACTTTGTAAAATTACACGAGCGAGTAAATTGTTCCAGAGAAATTTCTATCTACCTTTGTTGAAACCGCTATCACCAAAAGATGCCCTGAGAAAATATATTATTACCGGAAAAGATGTTATGGGAAGAAAACTCGAACATTACATCCCCGTATTGGAGGAATACGAAGCCAGAAGGTTAAGAAGAAAATATATTATAAAGGGAAAAGGCAAGAAAAGGCAACGTAAGAAGCAAAGTATGAAATACATGATGCCTTTCTTTGACGAAGATATGGACAACCATACCAGGCTCCAAGCTCTTCTGAATAGAAAAGGCAGAGGCAGAGGACAATGCTATACTTACCACGTCCCCGAAAAAAACTTAACTCTTGTTTTTACCCATCAGATGGAAAGAGCTATAAGGGATAAAGATATCGTTGACGTAACCATTGCCCAAAAACACGATAAAATTATTGTCAAGCTAAAGGATGGCATGAAAATTTACGTCCCCATTGTAAGCTATGATGGCCGTGCTCCCTTTTATAGAGGCGAGGGTTGGACTAGAAGAGAAATTGAAGAATTCCATCATTTCGGTAGAGAAACAATGTCTATTGCTAAAATTTTTGAGGCAAAAGAATCCGGAGTCGAGGAATGGGAGCTGGAAATGATGAGAATGGCCAGCAAAAGGAAGAAGAAGCAAAAAGGAGAAGGCACCCAGGACTGGAAGGCAATGATGCAACAAACTGCGGAAAGCGTCAATTGGGACGAATTTGAAGAAGAATCCAAACAAATCGTTGAAGAACAACACGATCCCGTCGAAGATGACCCCATTGCGATGGAAGTAGACGATATGGAGAAAACTAAAGACGTCAACGAAAAACTAAAAGTAGGAGGAACAGTAATGATGGAGAAATTGCCGCTAATGCCTGAAATTCCTGAATTAATCAAAGTAATGCAACAAGGTGAAATGACGGAAATGTTCTGTGTATCTGGTATAAAAGTTAATTTGCCCTCTAATAAAAAAGAACGTTTCGTTCCTGGTCAAATGGTCTCATCAGACGATGGTGACATATTTATGCCTGGACAAACGGTAGAAAACGACGATGGCGAATTCGAATACACCCCCGGGTTCACGGTTTTATTGGAAGATGAACCTACACTTATTCCTGGCCTAGTAATGGGCAACGATCCAAATAAGCCAATGTTCTTGCCAGGGGAGTCAACTATCACGGAAACTGGCGAACTTCAGTTCACGGAAACCGACGACGATCGTCCAAGGGGACCGACACCGCCACCTGGCCCAGACGTGGAAGAGGTTGAGTTGGAGGAGGAGCAAAACAGTGAGGAAGAAGAGGAGGAAAAGCGACCGCCCCCGAAGCGAGAAAAGAAGGAGTTCATTTACGAGCGGCCAAAGCGAATGTACGCGTCTGAAAGCATGGGTCCTAAGCGCCGTGAACGCGGTCCAAGAAAACCTGTTTTGCCAGAAGTTGAAATTGAACCGGCACGTGTAATTGTCCCAATTGAGCCCGTATTGTTTGATTTGACATTGCCGACATTCGAGAAAGATTTAATTGAACAGGAAAAACAACGAGTGTCAGAGTTTTCAGAGAAAAAAGCCAAAGAAGAAGTTACAATAGACAAGAGAAGACGTGAGATCAAGTTAAAAGCAAAGCAATTGGTGGAATCCAAGCCACCAACACCAAAATATCAGGCTCAGGAGCCAGTTAAAAAAAGTGAAAAACTAAAGGAATTCGAAAAGAACATCAAAAAGGGAAGTTTCTTTGACGTAGACTACAAGAAATATTTAAATAAGGAACGCGGTCAAAGGTTCAATTGGTTGGAGCCGGCTGAGTACAGAAATACGTTTGATTCGGTGGGGATGAGGAGGCACCGTGTTTGGAAGTCGGTGTATTAGTTGTCAGTCACACCGGCCATTGTTAATATCGGCCATTGGGTCACTCATCGATACGATCTAAATTTAACTTGATTACCTATAAATTACCAAGATCGTAATCATTGGCAACCTACATCCATAGCCGACATTTAGTTCATTAACATCTACAATCGATGATGGATTCGTGCTGCCGTGTTTGATTTCAATTTAAAGTAGTACGCATAGTGACTTGTATAATTTAATCAAAATATTATAATTTTATTTTACCCCATCCACAGACTTGTGATTAGAGGACTAAAATTGAAACAATAGAACAACCATTTTAATATGCCGATTAACGTTAAGATATCCCTTTGTAAAATTACCGCAGCAAGCAAACTCTTCCAAAGGAACTACTACCTGCCACTACTAAAACCCTTATCTCCGAAAGATGCACTTCGTCGAAAGATCATCACCGGTCAAAACGTGTTGGGAAATCGCACCGAGCATTACATACCGGTACTAAAGAAAGAAGAGGAAAAAAGCACTGATAGAAAACGTCGAGGAAAAGGAGTGCCTGTAATTAAAAAACGTTGCAAAAGAAAGGAAAATGAAAGATACGTGGAGCCGTTCTTCGACGAGAATATGGAAAATCATAATCTTTTGCAAGTCCTGCTTAGAAGAAAACCGAAGGGAAAGAACAAGTATATTTATGAAGTTCCCGACAAAAAATGCACTTTGGTTATTTCGGCGCAAATGGAGAAGGCGCTTAAAGATAGAGATATCGTTGATATTATAATTGCCCAAAGAAGCGAAAAGATAGTGGTCAAGCTACAAAATGGAACCAGGGTAACCTTGCCTCTAGCAAGTTACCAAGATTATGATACTCTTTATCGTGGCAGCGGCTGGACAAAGGAGTTTGCAGAGCAAGAGCATCACCATGGAAAAGAAACAATGTCAATTGCTAAATTGTTTGAGGCCAAAGAGTCCGGTGTTGAAGAATGGGAACTGGAAATGATGAGGATGGCCAACAAACGCAAGAAGAAGCACAAGGGAGAAGACAACAAGGATTGGAAGAATATGCTTTCAGGATGCGTGGAAAATATGGATTGGGACAAGTTTGAAGAGGATACCAAGCAAATTGTTGACGAACAGGAAGAAATTGTCACTGAGGAGGATATTCCGATGGCCGTGGACGATATGGAGAAAACCACCAACGTCGCCGAAAAATTGAAGCAAGGTGGATCCGCTGTATTAGACCAGTTGCCTGTAATGAAGGAAATTCCCGAGGTCATTAAAATATTAGAAACTGGAGATATGTGCGAAATATCTAACGTATCCGGCGTTAAAGTTAACATGTCAAGCGGAAAAGTTTGTTTTGTAACCGGCCAATTGGTTAAATCCGACGAATCCGAGGTATTTGTTCCTGGTCAAACAGTAATAATTGAAGATGGTTCAAAAGAATACACACCTGGTATAACAATCCTGGATAATGGAGAGCCCACCTTGATACCTGGGTTGGTGATGGGCGAGGAACAGACCAATGCCATGTTTTTGCCGGGCGATTCAAAGATCACGGATGGAGGCCAATTAAAATTCGAAGCCACTGACGGAGATAGGGGGCGTAGAGCTCCCTCTCCCTCTCCCCCTCCCCCACCAAAGCCCAAAAAGGAAGAAGAAATTGTCATCAAGCGTAGAGTTATTGCCGAACCTGAAGAAGAGCCAGTTCGCAAAGAACGTGTCAGAAAGCGAGAACCAATCGTAATGTCCCGTCCACTGACTCCACCAAGAGAAGTCTATAAACCAGCAAGGACACCGCTGGACGATCAGATCGACGCGATGGAAGAAGAAAGGAAAAGAAGAGAAGCAGAAGAACGAAAAAGGCAAAAGGACAGAATGGAAGAGAAAATTTTGAAGGAAGAATCCAAGGTCGACACTTTAAGATTAGGCATCCGTAAAAAGTTGAAAGATTTTAAAATTGAAAAACCAAAAGAGTACGTGCCAGTGGATCCAGTGAAAAAGACACAAAAGCTTGAAGAAATGGAGCAGAAAATTAGGAAAGGTACGTTTTTTGAAGACGACAAGACCAAAGAGATTTTGGAGAGGGCAAGAATGTCGATGAGGCAGAGTGCAATGAGTTCCTTCGGAGGCGACTTCGGCCGCGGTCGATTCTAATTCGGCGATCGGCCGAAGCACACTTCCTGAGCATCTCGACGATTTCAACTTCAGTATAGCGAATTCGCCGGTATGGTTTAAATCCGACCTCGCCGCTTCGAAACAACCGACTCTCGACACGACTTAGCTCTGTAAACCTACTTGTAAATTCTATTTTTGTGCTTCGCTTTACTCTATCGAGATTTTAAAGTATTGTTGTTCTATTATTTTAATTTATGTGAGTAATTTCATTCATAAAGTTTTATTAATAAAATGTTTAAAATTTATTAAAAGTGTTTTATAAATAAATAATACAAAGTTTAAAACTTTTATTTATCCTTTAAATAAAAAATATTTAAAAATAGAATAAAATAAATAAAGCTAATAAAATAATATAAAAATGGTAAACTTCGTGTTATCCTTCTGTAAAATTACTGGGTCCAGTAAAATTTTCAAAAGACATTTTTATTTGCCACTATTAAAACCGCTCACACCCAAAGAGGCTCTAAGAACCCTTAGAATCACTGGAAAATGGCTTCTGGGTGCAAAAATCCAACACTACATTCCCGTGTTAAAAAATCATCGTGAAAAAAGGTCAAAAAAATGTAAAGATTATGGCAGCAAAGTCCACGAACGCATGGACGATTTCACCTACATGACCCCCGTTATAGACCCGGAAAACGAAAGCCACAAGTTACTTCTGAAGGTGTTGGACACAAAAACAGGTACAGGCACTTTTGTTTACACAGTGGAAGATAAAAAATACAATATAGTATTCCAAGCACAATTCGAGGCTGCTATAAGAGACCGTGATATAATTGACATATTAGTTTCGCAGAAAAGCGATAAAATTATTGTCAAGTTAAAAGACTGTAAGAAAATCTCGATGGAAATACAATACAATGAGGGAGACGACGAGTTATTTAACGGCGAAGGAGCCACCACACCTGAAGAAGAAAAATTTCATCACCACGGTAAATACACCATGAGTTTAGCAAAAGTTTTCGAAGACAAGGAAATCAAAGAAGAAGAATGGGAACAACAGCTCAAAAAAATTATGAGACGTCGCCGTAAGCATAAATTGGAGTGCACAAAGGCTTGGAAACAAATGTTGAAAGAAAATGTTAAAAATTTGGACTGGAAAAAGTTCGAAGAAGATGCCAAACAAGTAATCGATGAAATTAACGAGCCAGCCAGCGAACAACCGATACCGATGGAAATTGATGATTTAGAAATCACAAAGAATGTAAACGAAACATTATCTCAAAACAGTGAATTATTGAATCAACTACCTACAATAAAAGATATCACGGACGTCATTAAAAACATGGGGGCAGCTGATTTACACGAAATTGAAACCGGGGGTGAAGGTGAGCAAAATAAAAAACGCGTTTCCGGTGTTAAAGTTAAGCTGACAAGTGGCAAAGAATGTTTTATAAGCGGCCAAATGGTGCACACGGAAGAAGGGGATGTTTTTGTGCCTGGACAAACCGTGGAAAATGAATTTGGATCCGAATATGCACCAGGTATAACTATAAATGTCGATAATAAGCCCACTTTGATTAGCGGTTTAATTATGGGCGAAGAGCAGAGAGACCCGATGTTTTTGCCCACACAATCCACCATAACGTCGGATGGTCAATTGACGTTTGCCTCGGCTCCGGAAGAAAGGCCGCCGGTGCAACCGGAAGAAAAACGTTTAAGAACGAAGTTGGAAAAACAGAAAAAAGAAATCGAAATGCAGAGGAGACAAGAGGAGAAAGAGGCGCTAAGAATGCTGCATATCATAAACCACTTCGCCGAAAATATTGAAAGCGACGATGAGCCTGATATTGAAAACGAACATACTGAAGTGCCAGTGGAAATAATACTGGATATTTCTGACGAATCTGATGGGTCACAATCCGATAGCGACGATAAGGCTTCCAGTATCGAATTAAACAATTCAGAAATTGAGGAATTAGACATTGAGGCCATAAAATTGAAACAGGAACAACAACGACTCGAAATGGAAAGATTAAAACAAATACTAATGGACGACGGAATGGACGACATAATTTCCAGTTTAGAAGAGAAAAAGGCAAGGCTTAAGTTAAAATTGGAAGAATTGCGGAAATTAAACCTGAATTGCGAAAGTAATTTGATAACTTATGCATACGATCCCGATGCAATAGAAATAGCGTCAAAAATAACTCAGGATAAAGATGCTATTAATAGGGTCGGTGAAATACTCTTAACAATGACTAGGAGGTTATCGACTTTGCGCGATAAAAATAGCATACGCGCAGATAACATAAATACCAACATAGTTTCGGAGAATGCAACAGATATAGAGCAAAAATTCAACGGTTGCTCAAACAAGTTAAAAATATTATTCAAAACTGCACTGGTGGCTGCCAATGACGTTTACAAAAATCGACCAAAAGATCAGATTCTCGCTTTAAATGCTATCGGGGAGATAGTTACAGATGCATTAAATGCGGACGATACGGTTCTAAGAGAGCTTATGAATTTAATGAACACCCCTTTGGATCGCCAGGAGATCTGCAATACGGTTTTAAAAGAACTATCGCAAGATATTAAAGAAACCAAAGTGTCCATGCTTAAGACCATAGCGAATAAATGCCTACAGCCAACGGATCTTTATGATTATTTAGCGAAAATATTCGAGTCTGAAAACATTGTTTATTCTTCGTTCGTAAAAATATCAAAATTGGATCCAGAACTAGTAAAAGTTTTAATTGAAGAACTTAAAGTAAACATAAAAGAGGCAACAACCGAGGAATCTGCTGTGAGACTTTTACAAGAATGCATTATAAACTCAGCTACAATAAATTTGGACAAAAATATACAGCAATTCATAAGCTCAACAAACGAGCACAATTTGCTTGAATTCATGGAAGAGGCTTTGAGCTTTGCAAAAGCTTTAGATTACGAGGACGTAGTGGACGATTTATCACGACCCATGAATTTGGATACATGCGACAAAAAAACATACGAAATGCTTAAAAGAATGCTACTTATCAGAAACTTGTCTGAAAGGGATTATTCGCTTAAAACTGCCATTGGAAGGATTAAGAAAAATCCGGAATGCGCTAAATCTGATCCTAGGATACGACAGTTAGTAAGGGAGAGTGCTGTATTGACATCGAACTATCCGCCCTTAAGAAACTCACGAGATATTCCTATAGGATTGATGAAGAAACAGAATTTGCTGGCGATAGAAGATTTTCTCATGCAAAGGATCAAAATCGAGTACCCAGTTTTGATAAGCCGAAACAGTTATCAGGCTGTCATACCGAAGGAAGCAGCCAGGGGTGTGTTGGCTGGAAGGGTTTCCTACGCGCTTATCGACGAAAGTGGCATAACAAACTTTAAGCCGATGCATATGACATCGGCAATAAGCGTCAACAAAAATCGCGAAAGACGTATTGATGACTACTTGAGTGCTCGCGGCCGCGAAAAATCTGCCGAACCAACTGATAACAGAACATATCTGCAGGCTAAAAATAACGTAAGAAAACTAAAAAAAATGTTCAATAACAACCGTAGAAACGCTGCATGATCATGTGACTATTATGTGTTAATGAGACTGATGTTTGTAAATTCGTATTTGTAACTAATAAAAAGCTTAACATTTCAAAAGTAAGTAACCCGTTTGGCTTGGTTAATGTGGGTATTGATAGATGGATTTATTTTTAGGATTTCATTACAAATATGAATTTACGACCGAGCGTTTGTAAATTGTTAGAAATTAAGTGCATAAATATGAACACCCCTAAATCCAACCAAATATATACAAACCGTTAAAAATCACTTTAAAGCATCAACACTCCCACACAATTTTTATAGAATATTTTTGGAAACCCGTGCACAAGGTGAGTGAATCATTTTTACACCTTCTATTTTTGTTTTTGTGTTTTAATGTATTGTTTACCTGCATTTTTGGCCACACGTTTTGGTATAAACAACTGTATATCCAAATTCTTTTCAAAATATTACTTTAATAAATAAACAATTCCTCGTCATACATTTTATAGTATTGCTATACAGGATACATATAGGTATATAATATATATTAAAAAAAATGTATAGATAACTAGTTTAAATAACGTTCTTATTAGTATATTATGTATATATATATAGTATATCAAGTTTTATAAATGCCATTTTAGTTACGAGTTTTAGGCTCGAGCAAGTGTTTAATAAAAACGAGTGTCTGGAAAAGTTTATAAAACGAGTTGCATAATATACTTTATCTACGACGTACACAAAGAAGAATTTTATTTGTTAAAAATTTGACATCTTCCAACGGATTTAACCTCGCTTTTTCACAATTTATAGTAAAGCTAACTTTTGCCCGTGACTAAAATGCCCATAACCACTGTTGATAACTTGACTAAAACCCCATAAAGTCACAGCTTATCAATTGGGGAGTAGATAATGTATATTATGTATTAAATTTGATAAACGTCATTTTTGTCACATATTTAATTTAGGTACGAGCAATCTTGCGTAACAATTTCTAACTTACCAGCGCTCCAGTCAAAATGTCAAATGTGTAAATCGAAATTTATCCCTTGAAAATGATCTAACAACCGTTTAAATGATGATATAGAAGCAGTTTTTCACAGAGAAAGTAAAGATAATGTTTTATGGGCAATATCAACATTATTAAAGTTATTTAAGAGTAAAAAGTAGTAAATTTTCGATTTATTTATACAATTAGAATAGAATTATATGTATTTAAGGTAAAGAAGAATTTATTAAACAGTTAAGGTATGTTTAAAAGAGGTAACATTAATGCAAATAAAAATAGGTTATAATCCTTTTGAAATTTTTTTTTAGGATTAGGTGCGTTTTCATTGATATTTATACTTATAAGTATTAACAAAAACAAATTTACTTGATTTACTTTCATTTTAATCCACTGTGCGGAGCGTTCTTTATCCTAAGGCAAACTCAATGCAAATGACGATTTTAAGAGCTGGCATCTGCGCATCGATGGGCGTGTACATATACGTCTCTAGCTAGATTTGCCAAGCTGTATGACATTTGACAACTGTCAACTAACTTCACCCGTGATTAAAAACCTGTTGCTAACTTCACCCCGTGACTAATGCGCCACAACTTATTAATATGTATTTTAAAAATCACTTAGTGCCATGGGAACATGTACGATAATATACGTTTTAAAGGTGGAAGTATAATTATATCTAGCTTAAATTAACATTTCTAAAAATGTTTTTTCGATTTAAATATTTGTTGTTAAACTTGTATGTTCTTAGGATTAACTATGGAACTATTTTTTCTATGCTTGAAAAAGTAATACTTGCAACACTCACCGTGGTGAGTTTTTATTTTCACTTTCATATTAATTAATACTTATCTTAAACTATGCAAATACTTTAAGATATGAACATTTTTCCAAGGTTCCACCATTTTGCCATTTTCTTTGTATTTCAACGAAGAAATATTTATTTTTAAATCAATCAGTTATTTAAAAGATCAGTACGAGGACTTTCTTATTGACACCTAAGTAGAGACGGGGCTTTTAGGCACTTAAAATTAAAAAAAGGCTTTTAAGAAGGCCCTTAAAAAAGGAAAAATCACAAAAGGCATTATTAAAAAATAAATGCTTTTATTCTAATATACATAACAACCCCACATATCGAAAATGTATAGTGCATTTTTTTCTGAATACGACAATACAGGGTGATTTACAAATTACAAGTTTAAATTTGTTTTTCTTATCCGGTGCTTCAGTTTTCGCTTAGTTAATGTTTGATTAACATGTTACATATCTACCACCTGTGAGTTTTTGTGAATCTCGTTTTGTGTTGGTCCCGTTTTCATTGTTTACTGTAAAGTCACTTTAAACAGTTTACATAGATAAATGTGCATTAAGTGGTAGGGGAAAATGGTAAGGGCAAACAATTTAAAATTATACCTAGTTATATGTTTTTGAATAAAAAACTTCGGTTTACGTGTTAGAGCGTTTTTCATAAAAAACTTCTCTCATCTATAGTATGCATATATGCATAGAACGATTTTTACTCCAAAAGATTTATTCGATATTATATATTAAAGTATTATAAATAATATATCATTAATCATTACAATCTAATCTAAAACAAGATCTTTTATTTGGATGTTAATGTTGGTACTTATAATTTAGGATGATTTAAAGGTATTTAGCCAAACACAACGAGGTCTTGGGCAATTTGTTTTCCCGAAGACGTCAAAATATTGGCTTTAATTTTTGTTTACTGGATATGCAATGCAATGTAATTCATTTTGACATCTTACACGTGTTCAGCTCAAGGTATAGACAGCCAAAATTCCAGAATATATTGTAGGTGTATCTAAATTAGGTGAATCATCCGGTTTTCGTTTTTTGCAATGTCAGATATTTTTTATTTGGGCCAAATCGTTTTTTGTCTACAAAATAAATTGTTTCGAAATTCCTTACAAATAATGGAAATAAATCTTTTCGTAGATAAGTTTTAAATGGTTGTTTTTGTGACCCAAGAGTAGCTAGCTAACTGTCTTACAGAATGTTTATTGAAATATCAATGTGAGCGTAGGTAGATGGGCTATTTGTAACTCCTTCAGCACTACGGTAGACATTCCCTATATGCTAAAGCACTTTACAATTTTAAAATCACGACAATACACACTATAGTGTATTGTATTATTATAATAATTAGTAATTTTAACATAATGTAAGGTACATAAACTATAGATACTTTTCTTCGAACCCCTTGGGTAAACGGTAAAGTAAGTAAAATAGGCACTAGTAGTTAAGCACACAGTTACTAACTTTACCATATAATTATTGTAATACTAAAAAACTTTTCAATTAAGTTATCTCACTAAAAAGTACACATTAATCTACGTATAGTTATTGTGCTTTATTTATATTATAAAGTTACTCAATTTCTACCTGGGTAAACTACAAATGTGTAAATTTGCATAAAATCGTAGCTAATTAAGGTACAGTTTCTCATAAACAGCTATTTCTATGCACTTACGATTTTCATTTTCTCATTTATTTTATTTTAGCACAAGAATGTACATTATAAAAACCCGCTTGGTATATTGCAAATTATGTTTTTTTAAATTTGAAAATAAATATACAGGATGAGTCTTTTAACTTGAAACTTTGAATTCTAAGTAAATAGGCATTTTACAAAAATATGTTTAAAATAAAAATTAAATGATTCGAGGCGGGAAATAAATTAGTACCATACTCTCATCCTTATAGGGAGGGCATGGGATAACTTTAAAATTTCCAATGAAACACCCTATTTTTTATTGCAGATTTGGATCATTCGACTAAAAATAGATAGATTTTGTCTAAAACATTTTTTCATATTTGTAAGAGATGGCACTTTAATAAAAAAATCAATTTCTTCTCTGTATACCATTCTGCAATAATTTTTACATGATATTCCATTTGGATTTTTTTTTTAGTAAAAAGTAATCCATGCGGTGAAGGCCACATACTTCAACAAAAAGTATGTGCGATTCACCACATCCTTCAGTGGCGGCTGGTGGATTTTGTGTATACCAATATCTCAATTATTAGATATGGGACCCACACCAAATTTATATGAGTTTATAATATTAAATAAACAAGTTCTGCTCAAGCAGAATTTAAATTGAAGTTTTCGAAAAAAATATAACTTTTTGCTCGGCCGTACCGGCCCCATGGTGCCCCCAATAAATATAATATAAATTTAATTGGTGCAATTTAATATTTACTTTAATAGTTTACCGACAAATTTCAAATTTTATTATAAAAAATCCAAATTATACAGATTTTATGCCATTTTAAATTTTAATATTTCTTTTCAAAGAAATAATAAAAATTTAAAATGATATAAAATCTGCATGATTTGGATTTTTTAAATAAAATTTAAAATTTGTAGATAAACTATGGTAAATTATAAATTGCACCAATTAAATTTATATTATATATATTGAGGGCGCCATGGGGCCGGTACGGCCGAGCAAAAAATTAACTTTTTTTGCAAACTTCAATTTAAATTCTGCTTGCGCAGAACCTGTTTATTTAATGTCATTATAAACTCATATAATTGAGATATAATAAATTGTATATAAATTTTACGAAAAAAAAAAACTTTTAACAATAATTAACACACAAAATGATGATATTTAGGATTTTATAATGGCATAACAGCAAGAATTTGGCAACGTCGTATTTCGACCAGTCAAAAGGTTTTTATATTAATATGTAGATGGTTTTTATAAGTATGTGCCATTCACGCACTCTGGCACCCTCTACCACCACACGAACCAAACGAAAGATATTTATTGGAATTTACAAGAAGAAATGATAATTGAAAAAAATGTAGAAAAACAATTTTAGTGATTTAAAAATTGTAGAATCTTAACTGAATTTTGTTTCTGTTTATATTTTATGTAAAAATAATCTTTTTGGAAAATATTTGGAATAAAAAGTAAAAAAGAATGAATAAGTATAATGTAATTTATTTGCAAATTATGAAAAATTACATGTTTTCAACTAAATCAATCATT